TGAAGACCCCCCCCTCGGTGCCCGCACTCCCCCCCCCTGTGTTTGCCATCGGGGTTGGGTTTTCGTCGATTGGCAACGACGTTGTAAAACAAGCCGATCACTTCGTGAGCTCGGGAACCAGGTTACCACCTTTTTGTTGCATCTGCTTTTTTTTTTTTTTGCGGTAACCCCGATGGTGGTCGAGTAGATAATGTTGTGCGGGGTCGAGAACCCTCACTCCCCGCAAAGGGGATAATCGCAACATGTTGTGTTCAATTGGTCAAGCACCCTCGAGGCAGTTACACAGCGCTTATTACTGTCTCTGGAAGTGAAAGCACCAGAACATAAAATAAAGTCATACGCAGCTGTCATCCGTACGCAAGGAAGTAAACACAAGATGCCGAACACCCTTAGCAGGATGCAGCGCACCCTTCATGCGACTCGCCGAATACCTTACGGTGCTTCGCGCTTGGTGATGTGAGAGCCTGGTCCGGTGAAAACCCGGCGTGCTCCGTCCCGGCTTTGAAGGGATGAGAGGTCAATGGTCTAACGACTGCGGCATGCACGGCTATCAGTACCGCCCCCGCCCCAGCCGCCCGCCCGTACATGAAAAAAGAGCTTGCTCTCACCTTGTGGTTCCCTGCCTTCCGCTCGAACTCCCCCGTGTAGTCCGTGTTCCTCTGCCAGTCCGTCAGGTCGATGTGCGGCAGCCCGCACATGAGCAGCTCCAGCTCCTGGAAGTCGAACACCGACAACAACGCCTCCGGAATAACGTCGTAGAAACCCACCAGGAACGCCGTGAGCTGGTCGCGCATGCGCATCAGAAGCCGGTGCTTGAGCACGAGCTCCACGTACTCCCCGATGTTGTCGTTCGTAACGTCGAGATCGGCACCGCCTTCCTTCAGGTCCACGACCTCCATCGACCCCAGGCGGTCCTCCGTGACCGTGAAGTCTAGACAGCACACCTGGACGGAGGGGGGGGGGGCGAGGGGGGGAGGGCGCGTATGTTTTCTCAAAGATGGGTGTTCGTTTCCAAGGCTCGATTTTTTTGCCCGAAATCGGTCGAAAAGGTCGCAAATCATTAAACGGACGGACACACATTCACGCAAACGTCGCTTGCTGACTGGAATCGACAGACAACACAACATGGTTGTGCAAAACCAGTGCCAAAACCAATGTTGACCGAACTATCTGGGGGTCCCTGCACTACTTGGCTCCCCGCACACTATTGACCGTCGGCGTTACTCCCGCTCCACACCATTCCCTTGCCTAGACAGCATATTCCTCGCCTGTGTTCTGTCCTATCCGGACTGCCTACGCAAAGAAAGCAAGTTTAGTACGAACGAAGACCAGGCGGGGGGCACGCAGACGCTAACCCTAATTTAGCCGATCGTGTACTGTATCCAGTATGTGTTCGCTAAACGAAAAAACTTGCGTTGATTCCTGTCCTTACCTCAACGTCGTCGAGCTCGGTCATCTTGATTAGGGATTCGTGGGTGAAGTGGTCGACGTGCTCGAGGTCGCTGAAGGCGATCGGCCAGCCCAGGAGGTGCTTGTACAGCGGCCGGACGAGATGCGCCTGGACGAGCTGGCCGTCGAACAGCGCCTTGCCCAGTAACCTGAGTCAACGCACGTTGTTCAGAATCCGTTGTTGCTGTTGTTGTGGTTGTGTGTGTCGTTTACCGAAGTGAACCACGTGCGAAACATGAGCGTTCTCCTTGCGTTGGTTGTTTCCTGTCGTCGTCAGTTGTCGAGACGAACCACAGGCGAAGAAACGAGCGTTGGTTGCTGCTTGCGTTGGATACCAATTGTTGTTGTTCTGTGATATTTGTCGAGAGATGGTACAGTACCACGTGCGACAAAACGAGCGCGTAGGCTGTCGTGCCGTTTGCTGTCATCGTTCACGCCAAAAAATCAAAATCAAATACTCCAATCATGTTCGCATCGGGTGTCACAGTTTACCTCCATACTCGTTGCAACAACAAACCAAACACGACGTCAGAACGAAGCGACATCGTGCGTGAACTCACCCGCCGTACAACCTGTTCAACAAACACGCCACAATGTCAAGCCTTCCCTCCGTCACTCTCTACTCCATTACCTGCCGACGAAGTGGAAATGCTGCAGATGCTGCTCGTTCGCCACCCCGGAGTTAGCGCTGATCTGCATACACATCTGGTTGATGCTCGAGTACTGGAACAACGCGAAGTCGGGGTTGAAGAGCCTGGCAGAGAGAGAGAGGGACACGCCAGCGAGGGGGCCGCGAAAGGAGAAAGAATGCGTCAACCAAAAATCACAGGCGCCCTGGTCCTAACGATTAGGCTGGACATACTTTTGTTTTCGCTGTGAGGTCGACGCTGGTGATGAGGAAATAAACGTGCCGGGTGTAGGATGTGCGATTTGCACATACGTACCGAGGGAGGGCACCAAGTTTGAAAATAGTATCTCTGGTTGCGTAGACAAGAGGGATGAGAACACCGAGAGTAGCCGGCACACAATGCGGCCGAAGGAACGCATAATTTGTCCCCATCTCACACGGGATCTGGTACGCCATGCTCTGTGTGCGGAGACAGACCATCGTGCAAGACCATAATACTTTCATCTCAGCGCGTAAATCCAACCAATACTATGGGCGCCCCTCTACCGGTGTAGTCTGTGGTTGTGGCATTCGTGCGGGCCACAAGCTTCGCTGTTACACATCGCTGTGTGTCGTGTTGAT